CAGACTCCGGGGGGATTCCCCTTGCAGCTCCCCCTTCGCCCTGTCTGCACGTGGGTGCAATGTCCTGGGGATGGGGTCTCTCTGAGAGGGGCTGGTGCCAAACTGAGTACTGTTTGCCTGTCCCCTGTCCGGCAGCTGCTGGAAATCCAAGCCCAGTACCACCGGCAGTCACTGGGATCTCTGGACTCAGCTTTGGCGGAGCTGAAGGAAAGCCACAGCAAGACAGGTACCCACTGGCTCTCCGTGCAGCCCGGGGAGGGCTGCAGCCGAGCCCAGGGGATGCAAGTGTGGCCGGCGAGGCTGGGAAAGGCAAGTTTTCCCTCCCTGCACCTCCTGCTGCCTCCCACGTCGGGCTGGTGGGATGGGGATTGCAGCTTGAGGCAGGCTGGGGATGCTGCCTGCCCTGCCTCTGCCTGCGCCCAGCCAGGCTCAGCTCGGAGCAAGATGGCCAGATGGCAGATGGCCCTGGCAGCTGCCGTCCCTCCCGACATTCACCTCCCTCTTCCAGAGCCCACCTTCACCGCAGACACCCCAGTGGCAGGGTACTACGGCGTGCCCCTAGAGACGCACCTCAAGAGCTTGGGCCGGGAGATTGCGCTGCCCATCGAAGCCTGTGTCATGATGCTGCTGGCCTCCGGCATGAGGGAGGAGGTGAGCAGCACTCCTGAGCCCCCCGACACCCTCTCCCTCCAAATGCAGCCCCCCCACATTCCTTCCCTCTTCTCCCCATCCCCAGGGACTCTTTCGGCTGGCAGCGGGTGCCTCAGTGCTGAGGAAGCTGAAGAGCAGCTTGGCCAGCGGCTCTAACGCCCTGGAGGAGTTTTACTCGGACCCCCACGCCGTGGCCGGTGGGTGCCGGCGAGGCCGGGCAGGGGGACACGATCGGGCAGTCTCTGCCTTCCCCCAGCCACCATCACCCCTGCCGCTCCCCCTCCCCTCCCAGGTGCACTGAAATCCTACCTGCGGGAGCTGCCCCAGCCTTTGATGACCTTCGAGCTCTACAACGAATGGGTCAAAGTGGCCAGGTAGGTCCGGGCATTGGGGTAGAAAAGCCTCGAGGGGCTCAAAAAGCCCCCGCTCACCCCCCTCCATCCCTCCCAGCACTCGGAGCAGAGCTGCTCAACCTCGTTTGCCATGTGGAGAGATATGAGAACGCAGCACCTGGTCTGTCCCGTGCTCGGCAGAAATCCAGATGGCCCAAAATCTCGGAGAATAGCAATAAAAAACATGGCAGGGGGAGGGGGAAGGCTGCAGCCTTTTTGATTGCAAGAAGAGTTTAGTCTGTGAAGAAGACCCACTTAGCCTCAACGGCATGAGCCCCATCTCACCGGCCCACCAGCCCAGTTTGGCCTTTTGCTTTTGGGATGGAAGGGGTGGCGGAAGAGGCACAGCAAAAAGCCTGGGGGAAGGGGGAGAGCATCTTTCTGAAGGGATCACCTCAGTGTCGATGTGCCCCGTAGTCACGGGAAAATAGGGTGGCTGCTCGTGGCAAGGTGGTGCTCACCCCCGGGCCAGATGCACATCATGTTAAATCCCTCTGAGTCTTTGGGGTGCAATTTTGTTCTCCATGGATGCCTGCCTTAGCTGTCCAGTAAAGACAGCAGCAGGGCATCTCTGTCCCCAGGGCTATGGCCGGCATGGACGGCCGATGCTGGCCTTCCTCCCTTGCACACTGTGTCCCTCTCTGCCATAGGGAACGGGCTGAGCTCTCCGCTCCTCTTTCTTCTCTCTTGCAGCTTAAAGGACGTTGACAGCCGCCTACAGCGACTGCAAGACACCTGCAGCCGCCTGCCCCAGGAAAGCTACAACAATCTGAGGTGTTTTGCAGGGACAGGGCTTCTTCAGCCCTAAGCAATCACTGGGGGCAGCTGTTCCCCTCCCCATACCCGTACTTACCACCCCCTCACCCTCCTTTCACCCCACAGGTATCTGATCAAGTTTTTAGCCAAGCTGGCTGAACACCAGGAGGTGAATAAAATGACTCCGAGCAACATCGCCATCGTGCTGGGCCCCAACCTGCTGTGGTCACAGCAGAACACAGGGTAAGGTCTGGCTCGGAGGGGTGGGAGGCAGCTCCCCAGCCCTGGCTGGGGTGCCTTGAGCTCAAACACCATGGGAAAGGTTGATCCAGCAGCATTCAGGCTGGTCTAAAGCACCTCCATCTTCAAGTCCTGTCCCTTGTCCCCATAGTCCCCAAGTGGCACATCCCCTTGCCAAACACGTGTCCTCTTAGCCACTCTGCAAAGTAGCTGAGACCTGGAGCACTTGTGACATGAATGGCCTCCAATATTGTTAGCCTCCAACACCAAACCAGGGTTTTCCAGGATAGGGAACAAGGCCCACCTCCTGCCCTACCACCCCCTCCTTGGCTGGGCTGTCTCCCCTTCAGGCTCTGCCCCCTCAGGAATGAACACCAAAAGGATTAATGCCTCAAAACCCCTTTTCTGATGCCTCAAACCATCCCTGTCTCTCAGAGACCCCATGCAACTGGACTTGGCCTCGGTCTCCTCCATCCAGGTGGTGGGTGTGGTGGAAGCCCTCATCCAGAACGCAGACGTCCTCTTCCCCGGAGGTATGGCCAGGGTCCCACTTGGGGGCCTGCAGCCCAGGTGAAGGGGGGAGGAAGGGAAAGGGACATTTCTCCATCCCTAAGAGGAGGGAAGCTGGGGGTGGGTCCGGTTGCCCACCACGGGGTCATCGGGGAAGCTCTGGGTAGCAAGGACTTCCTCACGGGGTCTTCTCCTTTCTCTCCACCCAGAGGTAGATTTCAATGTCTCAGGCATGTTCACGCCACCTGCAAATGGCAGACTTGGTGAGGCGACTCCGGTGGAAGAGCTGACCCCCAAACCCCCTCCGGCCAGCACACCCGCTCTCCCAGACGGAGAAGTGTAAGTCCAGTGGAAGCTGGGGGCTCTGGCTGCCCCAGCTCTCCCCATGTCCTCCCCCCGTCCCACCCCACGCCAAGGGCCGTACCCTCGCAGCTGGACGCGAGCTGCCTCATGGCCAGGACTGCCATGCCCAACCAAAGCCTGATTTGTCCCATTGTCTGCACAGCACCTCGAGCGACCCTGAGGCCAGGTCCCAGCCGACATCCCCAGCGGCGACCAGACCGTCTCCTGAAGCTGCGGGGCCACTGTCTCCAACGATGACTGAAAACACCCCCTGCAAAGGTTAGGGTGCCCCAGACGGCACAGCGCTTGGGGAAATGACACCCCCCAATGCCACCTCCTCTGGTTTGCCTTCATCCCGCCGTTCCCCGCACGAAAGGGTGCTGGGGATCTCCCTGCCACCAAATGAGGGGAACGGCTTCTGACCGGGGCAGCGTGGCCAGGATCCAGCCCCTCATTGTGTGCTCCAGCCCCAGCCGAGGTGGGACTGTGGGATGAGCACGGTACGTCCTCCAGTGTTGGGTTGAAAAGCCCCCCATAAAGAGGTGTCAAAGCTCACGGCCCCTTGTGAAGGGAAGAAGGTGGGAAAAGCCCCCAAAAGCTGGTGTGTGCTTGGGTCTCCACTATGGGACCTGGGCAAGGGCCATTTTGTCCGTCAGTCTGCCTGCAGCCCTCTGCCTGACTCATGGCCGGCACCGTGACCCCCTCTGCCCTGGGGAGAGACCCCAGCAGAGGGGACCCCAGCCCACCCTAATTTTCTTTCCAGGCAAGCGCCCTGCTCCGGCCCGACCCACGATGCCGCCGCCGCCGCCCGTGGCACAGCCCCGGACCACGGTTCCCACCCCGGCAGCCCCCGAGCACGCGGCCAGCCCCAAAGCCCAGCCGCGACGGATGGCCGGGGTACCAAGCCGACCCCCCGCCGTCCCACCACCGCTCCCCCCGCAGCCGGCACCCCGCCATAGCCGAGATGCCCCGCCGTCCCCCAAGCCTCCCGCCGGTGAGGCCGAGGCGGCGACCGCCATGGACTGTGCCCCGGGAGCCACGGATGAGGGGCAACCGCTGCCTGCAGGGGGAAGAAGCCCCTTGGCCGCATTGCCACCAGAGGAGAACTGAGCAGGGCCGGGAAGATGGAGTCAGGCGCCCCGCCGAGACCCGGCAGGCGCTGTGGAAACCGGGGTGGCCTTAAGGGACGGTGTGCCCCTCCAGCTCCTCCATCTTGCTCCACACCGGCTGGGACCCTCCACCTGCCTCTCTTTCTTCTCCCGTCTCCACAGAGCCTTCCTCCCTGCACCACCGTGTCCCTGCCGGGGCCCAGCCACCCCTAAGGGACCCAGGATCTGCCGATGGCGGGTCGGCCACGCTCTCAGGTCCCCGGAGAGGGTGAGCCAGCGTGGGCAGGTTGGCCCCGTGGGGACATTTGCGGGTGCGCAGCCACGATCCCAGCCCCTTCTCCTCCATTTTGCCTTGTCCCTGTTGCCCCAGGAACACACAGACACGGAGATATATAAATATATATATATATATATATTGCAACTACATTATTTAAAGAGCTGGTGTCACAGTCGCAGGCAGGTGTGAGGCCGCCCGCCCCTCCCCAGGCTGCAGCCGGGAGGAGGGAAGGTGAGGGTTCCCCGGGGACGCCAGGGCGGAGAGGCACGGCTCAGCCCGAGGACGGGAGGGCAGCCAGCTCCCCTCGACCGGCGGAGAGACGGGACCGAGGGGTAATGGCGGCTCCACGGCCCGCGGGCCCCGGCGGGCAGCAGGGGACGCCCTGCCGCCGCGCGTTCACCCGGGGGAGGAGGTGTCTGGGGAGGGTGGCTTTAGCCAATCGGCAAGCGCGCTCAGGCTCTGTCCCGCCTCCTCACCGCCTCCCTCAGCAGCCAACAGGGCGGCTCGGCTGTCACTTCGGGAGCCGGCCTCCCGCCTCTCGGCCCCGCCCCTTCCCCTCGAGGGCGACAGGACAGCTCGGCCGCCGCTCGGCGCTCTCTCCCCACCTCCCATTGGTGGCGGCGGGCGGTGATTGGCGGGCCGGCGAGGCGGGGCGGGACGCGGCGGCCGGGCGGGCTGACTGACTGACTGACTGACGGACTGACTGACTGACTGACTGGCGGCGGCGGCTGAGGGGCATGGCGAGCTGCCGGCGGCTGAGCGGCGCTGGGCTGCGGGAGGTGCTGGGCTCGGCCGAGGGTTTGCTCTTCGACTGCGATGGCGTCCTGTGGGCGGGCGAGCGCGCCGTCCCCGGCGCCCCCGAGCTGTTGGAGAGGCTGCGGCGTAGCGGCAAGGCCGCCCTTTTCGTCAGCAACAACAGCCGCCGTTCCGTGGCCGAGCTGGAACGGCGCTTCAGCCGCTTGGGTTTCCGCGGCGTCCGCGCCGAGCACGTCTTCAGCTCCGCGCTCTGTTCCGCTCTTTTCCTCCGCCAGCGTCTCCTCGGCGAAGCCGGCAACGGAGGAGGCCGCGTCTTCGTGCTGGGCGGCGAGGGGCTGCGCGGCGAGGTGCGTGATGCCGGCCTGCGCCTGGCGGGTGAGGGCGAACCGCTGCCCGGCGCTACGGAACCGGTGCGGGCCGTCCTGGTGGGCTACGACGACCAGTTCACCTTTGCCAAGTTGGCGCAGGCCTGCGGCTACCTACGTGACCCCCAGTGCCTCCTGGTAGCCACCGACCCCGACCCCTGGCACCCGCTCAGCGATGGCCAGCGCACCCCCGGTGAGCCCGCGCTCCCCTCCCTTGCTGCCCCTGGGAATGGCGGTGGGACGATGGTGGGGTTGGCCTCGGTTGGCGTTTGCTGTCCCAGGCCCTGACAAGGGGGTTCCTTGACCATGGGGACAGGCAGGGCTGCCCTCACGCGTCCCTGCCAGCTTCTGAAGCCGTGTTGCCAGTACCCCGCTTGCTCATCCTCTGGCAGGACCCGGGGTGCTGAGCTGCCTGCAGCCAGCTAGCCCATGACTCCTTCTTTTTCCCTTTCTTCTCCCCCCTTCTATCCCCATGCTATCCCCTCCCCTCTCTGCTCCAGGGACTGGCAGCCTCACAGCAGCGGTGGAAACTGCTTCGGGCCGCAAGGCGCTGGTGGTGGGGAAACCAAACACGTACATGTTTGATTGCATCGTGGAGCGTTTCGGCATCAACCCGTCCCGCACCCTCATGGTGGGAGACCGTCTGGAGACAGATATCCTCTTCGGCAAGAACTGCGGCCTCTCCACCATCCTCACCCTGACAGGTGTCTCCCGCCTGGAAGAGGCACAGGCCTACATGGCCAGCGACAGCGCTGCTGCCAAGGATCTGGTGCCCAACTACTATGTGGACAGCATTGCAGACTTGATACCGGGCCTGGATGAGTAGCAGTCTGCACACGTGAGGGCAGAGGGGTCAGGTTTCCCATCCCAGATCTCCATCTGTTCCCATTCTCTCTCACTGCCCTATTCCTTCAATTCCTGGTTTCTCCACATTTCAGTGCCCTTTGGGGGCAAAATGGGGGGGATTGGCAGGAGGGGGCAGGGTTCAAGTTGTCTCCTTTCTGCTGAGAGCTATCCATGATGGACAGAGTCCTTCTCTCCCTCATATGCCAGCTGCCAGCGTCTCTGGGAGAGAGCTGGAGGCCTTGAGGCTGAGAGGGGGGTCAAATCAGTGTGTCTGTGTGGGATTAGGGACCGGCTGTCTTATTATTTTTCTCTTAGATAACCAGTGGCGGCCTTTTACTGCTGTCCCTTCACTCGTGTAACTCTTGACTGCTGAGCTGCATCCCTGCAGTCCTTGTGGTAACCCCCTCCTTGCCAGGGGACTGGCTGGTGTTGTCACCCACCCAGTCTCCCATCGGTGCCAGGGCGTGTGGAAGGAGCGTGCCGGTGCTCTGGAGTGATGAATGAGAGCATCTCTGCCTCCCACAAGTGAAAGGGAGCATTGCCTCATCTTTTCTCTCCCCCATCCTTAGAGATGTTGCCCCCACGACCCCCTGCCCTGACTCAGTTAATAACTGTGCCAGTGCCCATGTGAAGCACTACAGAAAGGGAAGAGACTGGTTTGAGAGGTTTTTTTGTGCCAAACAGACAAGCTGTGACTGCGCACAGCGAGTCTGCGGTTATACCTGGTTTTCAAGCGCCTTTTCCGAAGGGGCTTGTGAAGGAGAGAGGGCTTCTAGACCACGACAGCACAGCAGTAGTGAACTGTACAACTCTCCCTGGTTCCCCCTCCTCAGTTGGATTTTGCCATAGTACGGTGAGAGAAAAGGGCTGATGGGGGTCTGTGCTCCAGCTGCTGGTGTGCAGGTGAGATGTTGGTGGTATTGTCGCTGCTGTGATTGTGTCACAGCCCTCAAAATCATTCCTTGCTGCTTTGTCTTTCTACGGTTTTTTTTTTTAATTTCTTGATCTTATTTATCAAACTTATTTATTGTTCAAATACTGTATTATTTGTATAAACGATGCTGACTGGTTGCACCAAGGGGACAGGAGGCAGTGCCTTTGGGCCTCCCTTACTGTCCATGTCCCATGTTGATGTTCTTACACTCACCATGTCTCTGTATATAATAAAGTGTGAGCGTAGGCTGGAAGTGGCCTCCTTTTTTCGCTTGTGGTGCCATCAAGATGAAAGTGGCCTAGGTATCTTTGAGCCCTTGAAGATGAGGACATGGCAAGATGTTTCCTCACTCAAGGGGGTGCTGCTGGGTAGACAAGAGAGGGGTGGACAATGTCTTGTGGACAGTGTCTTCCAGCTCCTGTTTGCTGTTGTCTCTTACTGGGGTCTCAGAACTGGAGTTGAGGGTGGAGGTGGCCGGTGGGGCTATGGCGTAGGGCGCGGGGTCCGGGCAGGTGAACTGGAGCAGTGAGCGATGCGATCTTTGCCAGCTGCCCTTGCGTTTCACAGCATGAGTGATTCCTTGCTGGGGAAGGGTGACTTCTTGTGCTGCGCCTGAAGTCTGCCTGCTGCTCGTCAGGTGGACCCCAATGATCCGTGTGGCCCTGTGCTGTGGTGCCCAGCTCTGCTGGGGTAGGGGTGAGGTGCCACCTCTGTCACCCGCATGTAGCTTGCAGAGGGCTGAGGGCTGCCCAAGTAAGGTTTTGCTGTGACCCTTCTCGACTACATTAAGCTTTGAGTGAAGGGGAGGTGGGTGTCCCCATACACCTGGAAGTGACCTTCACCAGACTGTAGCTTACCATGGCCTGCATCCTCTCACTGGGTTTGGCTGTGGTCCCAGCCAGGAGAGAGAAAACATGGGATAAGAAGAGTTTGAAATTACTTTAATATACTTTGTCCTCCATTCCTCCTATGGGAGCCAAATCCTTCCCTTTGTCTGCCAGACCCCTTTAACAGCTGTTGAGGGTAACCAGGCATCACATCTCCTGCTTGAGAGATCAGCTGTTCAGCTCAATAACCGATCTCGGTTTAAGTTAAGTGCTGTGTCAGCTCATGTGGCAGAACTAGATGCAACTTACTGGTGGTAGGATAATTCCAGGTGCTGAGTGTCTTTCCCTGCCCCCTGCCTCCCCCAAAATAACTTGGGAAACAGCCCTCCAAAATACAAGAAGATCCAAAGAGCTCTCTGAAGACTGCCTGTCATCTTAATCAGTCCCCTTTGTATGTGTCTGTCTCTCTCTTTTGTCTGTGCTGTCTCCAATTAGACAACCAGAGGACTGGTACTCCCTTAATGAGCGCCTGACCAATGCTTGCATCATCAAGCAAAGCAAGATCAAGACCTAATGTGTCTGCTAACTCCGGTTCCCTAACTAGAGATACCCAGGCCCTGATTTATTTTTCAGAGCTCTCAGTTCTTGTATCAGGCTGCAACTCGGAGCGCTGGTGTTGTGACTTGGGGCCACTGCTGGGAATGCTCAGTATGGCTGCAAATTGCATAGGTTGAGTTGGTTACCTGTGCATGTACAGAGGAGAAGGTGCACAGCAAGAGCATCCCCAGGAGATGCCCCCTTTTTTCTAGGGTGCTTTAAGGGGGAGTGCTTCTCATGCTCTCTGCCTTGTTGGCTCTGTCCTTTCCAGCTCTCCCAGCTAGAAGACGGGAGGTGGGAGGCTGTGGTCTCCCAGTCTAGCACACCAGGACCAATAGCTAATTGGAGCATTACAGCCTGTGTTTGGGCCCTCTCCAAAGAGACTTCAGAGTTCGTCCTTTGGATCCCAAATGGTGAGCCTGCAGAGTAGGTTTTCTTTTTCACATGGCTGCTGCTGAAAACAGAGCTCAGCAGAGGCGATGGCTGATCGCTATCTTATGACCATGTAACTTCTTTTGATCTGGTGCATCTCTGCCTGAGAGCTTTGCTATGAAGCAGAGGTGGGCTTGGAGCAGAAGGGGAATAGGCTTTACCTGGCCTTCCCTTGGTTCTTCACGTAGCTGAGGGTACCAGACAGGGGTGACCTGTGTCCTGTATATGCTTCCTCTCCCCGGCAATGGAAGCAGAGGCTAAGTGCTGCCTCTAGCCATGGAGCTGCTCTTGCTTTGAATGGAGATGAGAGCAGCGCTATAGGGGTCCATCAGGTCTGGCAGGCTTTAGTTTTGTGCGGCTTCCCTCTGCTACTATCGCTCCTGCACATAATGAAGGTGAGTGTGAGCAGATCTTATTAGAAAATTAGACTGGAAGGGTCCCTGAGGGACGGTGAGTTCTCCATCCAAGCCCTTCAGACATCCGTTAAACCATGGACACGAAGGGGTCTGTGACCCTCATGGGGGTCAGGCTTTGGGTTCCCTCGGGTGGGTCTGGTGACGCTTGCAGAGCACACATGCTGTTGAAACTGAAAAAAGTGATGGCTCCAGCCTGGGCAGGCTGGTTTCTTCTTGTCTAAAGCAGATTTTCTTCTTGGGTTGACTGTTCAAGGAAGCAGTGCACAGTTGTCAGGGAGCCCAGGGCTGTGGAGAGTGGAGCTGCGGCAGCGCATGGGAGGATGGAGTGGATGGGAAGCCTGGCTTGGTGTAGTGCGGGGAAGGGTATTTATTTTCTCACCTCCAGAAAACTGCATCATGCTTTCCTGCCGTGCAATAGAGACAACACCTAGTCGTTCCGTTACCCCAGGAACCTCGAATCCTTCATCCGTGCGGTTACTGTGGCAACCACTGGCTGGATGATGTAAGCAGCAACCTGCTGAGCATTGCCTGCTCTGGGCAAGGCCCAGGGAGAGGTTAGGGATGCCTGTGTTCCCCTGGCTGGGGGAGAGGCAACTTCATCTTGCCTCCCAGACTGCAGCCATCCTTGGGCACGGACGGATGGAGGAGGCAAGGAGCTGTCAGAAGTCTCTCTGGGCTTTTGGGAGCTTGGGGCAATGTGGAAAGGGGTCAGATATATGAGTGGGTGAGCCTGCTTCCATAAGAAACTATCCCTTGAGCCAGCATGGACTGAGCTGTACTGCTCCCATTTGTGTGCAGCATTTGTGATTTGATGGCAGGTAACATGGAAGCAGTCTTGTGTGTGCTCCTCCATGGCCATCTGCTGCTTTCCTCTACTGCTTTGTGACCTCTGGCTAGACTGCTCTCACTGGCCTGACTTTGGCAAGCTTATGTCCCCTAGTTTGAAATGTTCTTCATGCTCCTATTTTCCTGGGATCAGCATATTAACAGGCGCTTCCTATGTTCCTTCTCAAGCATACTGCTTTTCTTCCCTTTCACAGAATCACAGAATGGTTGAGATTGGAAGGGACCTCTGGAAGTCAGCTGGTCCAACACCCCTGCTCAAGCCTGCACCAGCAGCCCAGGACTGTGTCCAGGCGGCTTTTGACTGTCTCCAAGGATGGAGACTCCACAACCTCCCTGGGTAACCTGTGCCAGTGCTCAGTCACCCTCACAGTAAAAAAGTGTTTCCTGGATGTTCAGAGGGAACCTCCTGTGTTTCAGTTTGCTCCCGTTGCCTCTGGTCCTGTTGCTGGGCACCACTGAGAAGATCCTGGCTCCATCTTTTTCACACCCTCCCTTCAGGTATTTACACACATTGACAAGGTCCCCCCTGAGCCTTCTCCAGGCTAAACAGTCCCAGCCCTCTCAGCCTTTCCTCATAGAAGAGCTGCTTCAGTCCCTTCACCATCTTTGTGACGCTCCCCTGGACTCTCTCCAGCATGTCCCTGTCTCTCTTGTACTGGGGAACCTAGAACTGGACACAATACTCCAGGTGTGGCCTCACCAGTGCTGAGCAGAGGGGAAGGATCACCTCCCTCAACCTGCTGGCAACACTCGTCCTAAGGCAGCCCAGGACACTGTTAGCGTCCTTTGCTGCCAGGGCACATTGCTGGTTCATGTTCAACTTGGTGTCCAACAGGACCCCAGGTCCTTTTTGCCAAGCTGCTTTCCAGCTGGGTGGTCCCCAGCATTTACTGGTGCCTGGGGTTATTCCTTCCCTTTGCACTTCTCATTGAACTTCACAAGGTTGTTCCTGCCAGCCCATTTCTCCAGCCTGTCAAGGTCCCTCTGGATGGCAGCACGACCTTCTGGTGTATCAGCCACTCCTCCTAGTTTTGTGTCATCAGCAAATCTTGCTGAGGGTACATTCTGCCTCATCATCCAGATCATTAATGAAGATGCTGAACAGGATCAGACCCATTATTGACCCCTGGGGTACACCACTAGTTACTGGCCTCTAGCTAGACTTTATGCCACTGACCACCACCCACTGGGCCCAGCTGTT